ACTTTTTGATCGTAGCCGGATTTAAGTTAATTTGTATGACGCAGTCATGTGACGTCATAATGGCGCACTGTCACTTAGGCAAAATGTGTCTATGACTAGGGGACATACGCAATTTTGCAACTTGACTATATGTACCAGTCCTGAAAACCAAACAATCCAAAATCCCCAAAATAGATAATCTGTTTCAATTACATTATTTTTTATGTTTAAAAATATATATTTCATCAATATAACACGCTCTGCACATCACCGAAATAAGACTAAAGTTAAATAAAAAGAATGAAACAGCAATGTACTCTCATATAAAAGTCAACCAAGGTGAATTGGACTCAGACAGTGAATATCAAAAGTGCACGCCTTCCTATACTGTAGTATAAATTGAAATTTATAAGCGCTAAGCTAGAATCTGAGATGCAAAAACTCGAAAATCCTTCGCCGAGGTTATTTTGCCTTTGTGACGTCACAATAGTCATGCGTTACCAATGATAATTCAATATGACGGAACAATTGAACAATTTGCGTATCATACAAAATCTCTATTTTTATGGGTTTCGGAATTCTTAAAATAAAATCTGAGTTAACAGACAGGTGCGCAGCATTACATAAATACCTATTTTATGAAAAACTCAAAACCGCCAAAAATGACTTACGCAACTTGGTTATTAGCGTGACGATATGTGAATTCAAATTTATATGTATTTATATATTTTATTATTTATTCAAAAATATATGTATATGTAAATTCAAAGTTTAATGGAACATTTTATTTAAAGAAGAAGCAAAGCTATACAAAATAGAGCATATGTCCCACTCAGTTACTGTCAACGATGATTTACATAGTCTACAATAAATTCATTTTGTCAATTTCACTGTCGTAAACTGGTCAATCAAAATCTGTTTTTTTCCAATGTTTCTCTTTCAACACTTAGAAGTGCAAGATCACTGAGACGATCCTGTCCCGTTGATGCACGCGAATACGACAAAATAAGTTTCAATTTGCTGAAAGTCCGATCACAACTTGCAATTGAAACAGGTATTGTTAACAAAATTGGTAGAGAAATTCGCAGATTGGGTAAAACGTCGTCTCCAAAAGACACAATAAAACCAAGAAGAGCCAAAGGAGTTTCTGGTTGACCTTCAGTTCTGTTACTGAGCAGCATTCTGCAATCTCAAATTTCGGTGAAAAGTTCGTGGCCATTGATGTCCGTGTCGTAGAAATTTGCAAAATCTGTGCAATCTCGACGAATTGTCGAAGATGGCATTGGGGTCTTTTAGCACAGTATAATATATTTTAAGTAACTCTGCCGCAAAGTATGGCACTTTGACAACAACGAAATACAAAACCACGTATTACTCAAAACATGTATTAACATCATTTAACCAAATTCCGTTTCCAGTGCGCAGGCAAGAACTTAACGATACAGAACCACGTAATTAACCCGGTGCATTTTGTTACCTAACGTTACCAAATCAAATTTTGCTTCGTTTCCCGGCCAGATTTTTTGGCTATGTAATTACGATGGAAATCTGACCGTGCGCGAGCGATGTACGTGATGACGTCGGCAGTCGTAAGTGGTCTGACCAAGTGTGCAGTTTGCCATGTACTAAAACTAGATTTCTGCCGCCGGTGCGATCTTGCTTGTGACTGTTTTTTACCCTTGTTGTGAAATTTTTGCAAGTCCCATTTTGGCGCCCCTGTACCTTGGCGCCCGGGGGCATATGTACCCCACCTTTATTTTATATGGATGATTTGAAGCTGTATTCAAAAAATTATAGCCAACTTAAAATATTACTGAAAACTGTGAAATAATTCAGTGATGACATCAAACTGACATTTGGCCTCGACAAGTAAATTCTTTAGAAAATCTAATTTACAATTAGATCAAGAAACCTCGATAAAAGAACTCGGTAGCGATTCAACATATCGTCACCCTGGCTGATAGAATCAGACATGTAAGAATGAAAAAAAATTATCAAAAAGGAATATTTGAGAAAACTTCGATCGGTTTTGAATAGTGAGCTGAACTCTGTAAACATCTTCAAATCAATTAACAGTTTCGCAATACCAGTAGTTACGTACAGTTTCAATATCATCAAGTGGTCTAAACAAGAAATCAAACAATTTCATGCCAAAACGAGAAAACTAATGACGATAAATAAAATACATCATCCTCGAGCAGACAACGTTTGTACTTATCACGAAGCAAGGGTGGGCGAGGCCTGATTCAAATTGAAGAAAGTTACAAAGCATCTACTGTTGGACCGAAGATATACTTGACGTTTTGACTCAATCTTCAATAAAACTGAAGAATTTATGAAAGAAACTGGTGTTACTAACTTCTTAACTGAAAAAAAGTGCAAACAACATGGCAAAAGATGTCAAAGAAATCGAAAAGCAGAGACTAAAAAATTTGGCATGATAAACCATTGCATGGGAAATATCCCACTAGAATATGGGCACTGGATGTAAATGAACAAGAAACGCATAAATGGCTGCAAAGTTCAGGTCTGAAATCAACAACGAAGGGATTTATAATCGCTGCTCAGGACCAAGGTCTCCCGACCAACGCTCACAAGCATGAAATAATGAAACGAAACATTGATCCAAAATGCAGAATATGCCAATCGTTTGATGAAACCGTTGACCACATAGTATCCGGGTGTAGGATTTTGACACCGACAGAATATACAGAAAGGCATAACAAAACCGCATATACTTGCATTGGAAACTTTGCAAACACTACCAAATATCTTCAGAAGACAGGTGGTACAATCACAAGCCTGCATCGGTAACAGAAAATGAAACAATTTTGTGGAGTTTTACTGTTCACACTGACAAAACTATAGGAGCAAATCCACCTGATATTATAGTGAAATATTTCACAAAAAGAATCCTGTCTGCTAAATGATGTGGCTATACCATCCGAAAGAAACACCTCCAAAAAAATATTTGAAAAACTCTCAAAATACAAAGATCTAGAAATCGAGATACAAGAGATGTGGGGACTTAAAACTTCAACAATACCGGTGGTGGGGGCGCTTGGACTTATCGGAAAAGAATTTGAAAAATATGTCCAACATATTCCAGGAAAAATTAATGCAGAACATCTAAAAAAACCGTTCTTCTTGGAACAGCTCACATCTTACGTAAAGTACTTTCTATCCATTGATGACCTTGGCATGACCTCAAGAACTTGGAAAGTTCCCGGTCGCCAGAATGTAAAAATAATACCATAAAAAGGGAAACTAAGAAATAATAATGAAAAGAGGTGAATTCGCAACCCAAATGCCTTGAATGAAAAGCGGAACTATAAATTATCAAACTTAAAACTAAAACTGAAAAGTTTTGTTTTAGCGACTGATTGAAAACGCTTTTTAAGACAATGTTAATCACAAAATTTAGTGGCATATTAGGTTTTCTTTGAAACTTAAACCGTATTAACTGAAATCGAAGTCAATTGTGCGAGCCATGTACTTTTTTCATTTTTAAACTATCGAGCAGCCGCATGTGACTTTTTCTTGATATATGACAATATATAAAACGAGAATATCGGTTGGAAACCGAAGACTTATCGATCGATAGTTAGGGGATCCCCCAAAACAGAAACTGCAGTTTCGATTCATCCGCTCTTGTAACTTGCGCACTGCGCATCGCACACACACACTCGGCGGGTTTCAAAATTCTCTCGCTTCACAAAAATCTAGATCACTATATCAATAATTGATTGATAACTCGCTAATTATACGACATAATTCGCCCAAAATCAATAGGCTTCTGGTCCGAGATAAGATGAATGCACATGCAAAATCTGGAGCAGATTCAATCTCGCTTTCGTGAGATATCGCGTGCATCTAACAGACACACGGACATACATACATACAGACAAATACCTATCAATATACTTACCGATCTTAAGATCGATAAGTAATAATAAATGTAAAGTATATCAATCAATTTTTAATGCACATTGAACTTAATTAGGCTAAATGGCGAGGCATTTTAAATATGCCCGCATCGGATTGGCAATCTATTGCTTGAAAATTATCTCCAGTGCTGAAAGAACAAATCCGCACAATTTTTTTTTTCAGCGAGTGGCCTAAGAATGTTGCGCGGGAATTTCCGATTCCAATTTTGAACTCTGCCCTCTCTTAAAAAATCCTGGCTACCCCCTCCTCATAGCTAATGTCATATTTGAATTACCACCTCGTTGCAATATTTCGAGGCTACTGTTATCAAATTTTATTATTACTGTTATTGCATCATTTTACAGTTACAAAATTAGCCAAGTAAGTATTTTGATAAGTAATCGTAATGCTCGCGAAGCCCTTAGGTTTCTCTCACTTTGAGAACCTGTCTATCGATTCACTACAAAGTTAACACAATTGTGAAAAGGAGGCGTGTTTTTTCTGGTTTGGTTTAAGATGGATTTTGCATCTTATTTCGGGCCTAATACAGTTTCAATAGGTCACGAAATTGGTCATGGGGAAATAGTGCAAAGATATTTTCGCTTACCGCATCGCGCATTAGAAATAAAATATGGGGATGTACTGCAGCAGCTCGAAAGTAAATATGAGAAAAAGTTTTGATAGGCAAGGCTTTCCTTTGCAAGTTTTTTGCAGTATTGCATGCTGTGCACACAGTAAGAATCATCTATAGCAATAAGAATGACAAAGGAAAAGAATGATTTCTCATATCCTTTACAATTCAAGCTTACAAATATATCCATTCTTCGTTTTCTAGTAATTAGGTTCTAGTCTACCGATTATGACTCGACATTTCCGCGTTTATTGTATTCACAACATTGGAAAACGATGCGAAGGTTTCATTGCTGCAATGAAAAATCAGTTTGTTATATTTTATACACATTGATATAAGAGCGCTGTCTTCTCATGATTATTTATCGGCCGTGTTTGAAAATACAAAAAGATATTTTTAATTAAGCCTTCCTCCACCTTTTTTCTAGCATGCTAAAGGAGGAGTCTATAAAAGACATTGGATCGGTTAATATCGAATATTGATAAAGAATTCAGTTGGATTCCGGTTACATACACTTCGGTATTAAAAAGTATTAGGCTTCATCGATAAACAATGTTGACGATTGTTCTTTTGGTTATGTCATTATGTACTCTGGCAACTGATGGTGAGCAAAATCAATTATATATTTTGTATACCGGTATGCAAATTATCTCTCATAGTTTAAAATCACACTACGCTTTTATTTAGGCTAAAAGTTAACAAAAACTGGCAAATTGAGTCGGCAGATGTGTTAAAAGCAAGTCACTGAAATTATAGTCTCGGGTTGGAGTAATATCGATTCCACAAATCTGCTTAAAGCAAGGTCTTGATTTCTTCACCTTTTCTTGCATTACAGTTCCATATATATTTACAGCTTTGCAACCAGCAGGATGCGAAAAGAGATTCCAGGATTTTGGGGGAGAAGTTTCCACTTTTGAATGCCCCGCAAATTGTGATATCGGAACTGTGTATGTTGTAGGTGGACCTGAAAATTTTCAACCAGATTCTCTGGTTTGTGCTGCTGCGATACACGCTGCTGCAGCTCAAGGTGATACTGATAATTTCATATATTGTAGCTATGAAATAAATACTGCAGGACTTCAGACTTTTTTTTTAAAAGTTTGTGAATTTGATCTCTTGATTCCTATAGAATTTTGATACTGAAACACCAAATATAGAAATAACTTTAGCGGGCTATAAATTTGCTGTATTTGTAGTAAGTAAACAACAGTCGACAAATGCCAAGTCCTACAATATTTCTTCTCATTAATATTTCAGTTATATAATTTATCAGCTCAGCCCTCAATTCAAATTACCTCATAGCAAAGTTGCTCAATTTATTCAAATGAATTAGTTGAGCTATGCCGTACCAAATATGATTACTGTCATTTTAATAATAGATGTTTTGTATATCGCCATGAATGATTGTAAAACGCCTTCAGTTACTTGAAAAATGCAATAACCAATATAGCTAAAATGTTGTGGCTCACCTCCCAACCCACTCTGCATATTTTAATTTAGTGAGCTATTGGAGTTTCATACCCATAAAATCCCTACATGTTAGTAGTTTCTAATTTATACAGAAATAATATATCATGATGAATAAATGGCGCTCCCGTAGTATGTGTACCAAGATGGCGGACACCGGAACGTGGTACGTGTCCCAGGTTAGGGTTAGGCCATAATTTTATCCTAATTTTCTCATTTTAGTTCGATTACAAGTTTAGGGAATGACTCCCGCCGTATTTGTACATCTTTGCTACGTTCCGGTGTCCGCCATCTTGGTGCACATACTACGGGAGTACCGAATTTATTACCTTATATTATTTTAACAGTTGGAGGAGGACAAGTTGTTTTCCGACAACAAATTAAAACCCCTGCTCCGACAATGACGGCGGGGAATGCAAACGGAGTTACTACGATAGCCCCTGCCAGTGCACCAACAACCACCACCGAATTCTTTGCGTTTGAAAGTAATTACTATGTATTATTTTTTATAGCATTTTTTGTGGAATATTGTTCTTAGGTCGATAAAGAAAAAGTGAGGATATCCCTTTTATGATAAAAATATAAAAGAATTTTTGATATTAACATTGTGTCAAATGTCTCCATCAAAAGGAAGACAGAAAAAATTCGGGATGAAAAAAAAATCGATTGGAAAATAACCATGGTATTGTTCATACATAACACACTTATTTCTGGTTAAATGAAGATTTTGTATTATGCACACAGACAAAATAATGTTCAGCTCTCTCCAAATTTCATTATCTCCATTTTTGATTATGTTTAGATTTATTGGTGACATAGATTTATTGGTGAATGTAAATTTGTTGCACAATTATGTCAGTTTTTGTTCAAATAACAAGTTTCGTTGAAACTGAGGCATCTTAATACACATCAGTGTTTTTTCATTACGAGAAACAGAAATAGTATTCTTGATATTTTCTTCGATGAATGCTAAAAAACTGAGATGCATTCTCACGCTGCATCATGGAACAAAACGCATGAGTAAAAAAACGACTGTTCACACCGTCTGTGCTCTATATATCCTCAACATTAATATACTTGGTAGGAATAATGGGGTAAAGTGATGGATATTAAGTATATCTCTTATATAACAAAAGATGACGAAAAATGTGTTCTCCACTCGGTCGTAACAAAATTTATCAGTATATATCACTCAGTATTGAAGAAAGATTGAGATGAAAATCCTTTTTTTCTAGGTTCGGTTCCATCTGATTGTGCAGTTGCAGCAGAAGATATTGATCAGGAAGTTTTTGTATTTAATTGCCCATCTGACTGCGAAAAAAACTCTGACATAATAACTGACGTTGTTTTTGATGATGCAACTTCAATATTTGCGGTTCAATCGCTCATTTGTCTTGCTGCAATTTATGACGGAACATTAACAAGTAAAAAATATATTCAAATAAAGTCAATATTACGCAATAAAGTGAGACCAATCTTTTTCAATTTTACATGTTTTATTCATATTTTTAAATCAACGGCCGGTAGAATCCAATTCACACAGGCAGGTTACCTGCATGGGGTTCTCTATGTAGGCCTATGAAAATAAATAATTACAATCTTTGCAAAGCTGTGGCCGTAACATATGATTTTTTATGATGATTTTTCTCTCAAAAATTGACAATGTTTGTTTTATAGAAAGAGCAACTGCTACTCCCGAATCAAATCACTCAGTGTTATGAGCTGAAGAACATTTTCGCGTTATTCACTGCTCTTTAGCAGTAATGGCTCATATTCCCCTATTTCATATTTTCATTCTGCATCTTGTTGAAGGAAATTTATTCAAACGCTGGTTAACAAATTATTTTTACAGTTGGAAGTGTAGGTGCTGTTGTTGTTCAGAAACAACAAGGGATTTTATCATATGGCGACGCCACAAGTGCTAATGGAGTTGACCCGGTGCCGTTAAATACGTATGACCCTGCGTTTACATTTTCAAGTAAGGACTAGCGTTGTTTGCATGTCCGATTTTTTTTATGACTAATTGTCTTATTTATTAAAAGAGCAGTAAGTTTCGTTTAAATTGGTGTGCTATAATGTGGTTATTAGTAGAATGGCATTTTACCTATATTTGTCAGCGTGAAAACTCTTTGGTGAATGTTGTAAGCAGAAAAGCAAATCTATGTAATTCACCACTATTATGTGTACAAAAATTCATTATTAAGATATATATTTTGAGTGGTGTTTGACTTATGACGTATGTACGGGTCTGAAAAAATCCAACACGTTTGAGATATATTAATATGGACTATAAAGAAGCGCACGCTCTAAACATGCATGCTGCAACCATTACGTAGGCACCATTAGAGATATACAAACGGTGGTTGCGCATGATATAATGCTTTTGTAGTTATTAATTTTACATTTTTTCGATATCAGCTACAATACTGCCAGATTGCTTACAAACCGTGTCAAGCCAATCAGATCCAATCTTCTTATTTACTTGCCCGACTGTCTGCAGCCCGAACTTGGTTGATATTGTGGGAGACGGAATCTACAATGACGAAACACCAATATGCCTTGCAGCTATTCATGATGGACAGATAACCGGTAAGTCTCATCTTGTTTTGGATCATTACCAAAATTGGAGAAAATCAATTTTACAAAGTGCGAATATAAAAATAAATAATAAAAATTGTTCGAGTAGTTCACAAAAAAAAAAAGATTTAATACATAATGAATTGTAAAGCACTGAGTAATCATGTGACAACGGTCACAATCAATACACAGAACCCGTTTTATAGCTTACAAATTTATCATACAAAATCATTTCTAATGTATGAACGAAATATATGCATATGTTTTATTCCAGCTGCTGGCGGAGGTGACGTAATTGTGAATAAACGTCCAGGTCAATCAGGATTTAGTGGAAGCACACGTAATGGTGTCACCAGTATCAGTGGAGGACCAGACGATGGTTTTGATTTTTCCGGTAAGTAACAGCAAACATCTGTACGCTGGGTGCATTGTCAACACGTTTCTCTTTTCATTTTGGTCAAATTTTCTTCATTAACCGTTATGTAGATTAGCTTTTTATTTCGATCAAATTTTCTTCATTAACCGTTATGTAAATTAGATTATCGAAAGAAATGCTAACACAGTAGATGGGATAACTGCATTTTCAATACAACACACAAATCATAATACGAAGTAATATTGCGATTGTATATATTCGATTGTTTCAATACTTGAAGAGTCCATGAACTTTTAAAGAGTCGATTGGTTCTTTATTCGCGGACAATAGCGATGAATAACTTAGCCTACTTCGAGTGAAACTTTGCTTAATTGTGTCTGTTTGTGCCAATAGTTACTGATGTTAAATATTAGTAACAGTTGCTCTTTATACGTGTGTAGACTGCATCAACGGATCTCCTACAAGTGGTCCGGTAGAGTGTGATTGCGATGCGACTTGGGCCGGAGATGCGTGTAATATAAGTGAGTAAACTGCTTGCTAAGTTTGAATTATGAATGGCATGCGCATGTGAAAAAGATATTTGTGCAAATATATCATCAAGCATTCGGAAAAATATTAGATTCATTGAAGTTCTTTTAGGATGGAAATATAATACGGTATATAGTCTGTCCGATACAAATATACTGCAATGTTAATATCAACTTAGTGGAAGATTGGGTTGAGGTACTTAATATGTTCTGTCCATTCATTGCTAGACCCGAATTGTTTTCATCAAACAAAACAAAGCTACGATGGCGATGATGATAATAAGTTTAAAAACCTTACAAGAAACAATATTAATTAATTTAATCACCTCTTGTCATTGAAGTGAAGGCAATATAAATTCCTAATCAAATCATTATCCATATTTCAGCTTTATATTTGCAAACACAATGCCTGGTAAATTTACAGTATAGATATAACAATATAAACGTAATTCAATTGACTCTTTTACAAATCAGTCATGTTGACTTTACAATAATGTAACTTTCAAATGAACGTATTTTGTTGCACAGTGTGTGTTGAAGGAACTTACAATGCAGCGAATAATCCAGCATGTGACTGCAATCCTGGATGGGTTGGACCTATGTGCAATTTCCGTAAGTTTTATATTTAAATTGTACTGTCTTATAAACACCAGTAAATGTATATTCAACGATATAAACACATTTCAAATTCGTTTTCTTCTAGCTGTTATTATTCATTATTAGTTATAATTTGTGATTGTGTGGATGTAAATTGAAATGGTCAATGTTTAATGCCTTATCCTTTACATTTACAGCATTGTGTTAAGCTCTACTGAAGACGACTGAAGAAATTATAACTTTTTGATTCTGCTCATATACACATTAATATTACTTGTTTCAAATCTACTATAAGTTCGAATTAGAAGATCCTCGAAATATTTTCGAGAACGTAGATTGAGAAAGTAAATTCCAATCTACATATAAATATATTTACATATCTACCATCAGATACGATATCACAAAGCGATAATTATTCTTTATTAGCAGACACCTGGAGTTTTTCAGTAAATTACACGTTTCTGTCAATAATCTGTTATGGACAAACTGTTTTCATGATATTTATGGGCACAAATTTGAAGATCATGAGTTTGAATTTAAACTACATACATTCGTTGTTTTTTTCCTATTATCTGTGTGGTAAATTGTGATTCACCGAAGTTCTGTCAAAATAGAAGGTGTGAAATAGTAGCTTCAATACAAGCTTACATAAGGGGGGATAAGTTATGAGTTTGAAGATCTACCAAATAAATCCATTACTGCATTTTCCTATACTCTTTTTCAAGAATAAATCTAAGCTTGTACCTTGCTGATACCAGATTTTGGTATTTCCTATATATATATAAAAATTATGCTATTCTATCAATATTATTTTATTGATTTTCCTACCCTATATATTAGGGTAAATATAGAACTGTATTAAAGGCTTGTATCTACAACGTGTGTGGTGAATTTGATATATATATGGCATGATATATATATATATATATATATATATATATATATATATATATACAGGGAAGCACTTTATAAAAAACTATAAAAATAGTTTGTTTGTGTGGTGCGATATCACAACCTACGCAAGACACAAATGCGTATAACGATATAAAAAGGGCTTATATCTAGAATTTCCTCCGACCAGAAGAAGTACGCTAAGATAATAAAGGATGTTGTTCACCGTACGATTACAACTTGGTATATTCATATTGAAGATAAATAAAACACAACCGGTGTTAGCACAACGATGTAATTTGCCGACGTTTCGAATTTCTATTCAGGAAAATTCCACCATGGCATGATATGGAAAGCACACTATCGTATATATATATAGCGCAGAGAAAAGAAAAAAAAAGGGAAAATTGTCACGGCGTGAAAATTAAAATAAAAAGGATAAAATGATAATAGATCTGAGAATTAGCGCATTATGGGGACTATCTAAACAAGTTCTGCAGTTGATCCCAATTTATATATATATATATATCATGGAATTTTTCTATAACCTCATCTACTATGATGATTATGCAAAAATAACTATATATTATATAGCTCATCGCAAATATTCAAACTTATAAATTGTCTTAGCTGTGTGTATAGCTTTGCGCAGATATAAGTTTCAGCGCACCCGTCGATGTTCTTTAGATTCTGGTATGTTCCATTGAAATCTCATATCTCCACAGATGTCGCGCGCTTTGATGTTCGTGCGTACTATGATAGAGATATAGTGTTTTCCTGAAGTGGCTATCATTCTAGTATCCTGCTATTTTCCAATCAATGTTGTGATCTGTAGAAAGGGCATGTTTCGAGAGAGCCGAATTTTCAGATTCATTTTGTTCAACATCTTGCTAGTCCTCTCGAAACATGTGCTTTGCGCAGATCGCAACCTTGATATATAACAGGGGTGGCCAGCACGTCGATCGCGATCGACCGGTCGATCGCCACGTCTCGAGCAGTCGATCGCGTCTGATGTCGAGTGAATTTTATTAAAATACCGCCAAACAGTGCCTCGAACCAGTTGTATGTTCACAACAGGAAGATTACAGTACTTTACATCTGGGCAACCCCGATAAAGCATATTATTACGTATCAAACGCAAGTTTTTCCGCTGCCAATGTTCAAAAATAAAGTGCGTAGACCAACGTTTCCCAAACTTTTTCGGCCACGGAACACTTACGCTTTTTATCTCGCCTCGCGGAACATCAAAAAATGAGAGGGTAAAATTAATAAATAAAAAACGGTGTAATGCAGCGGTTCCCAAAGGGTGCGCTCAGCGCTGGATTAACCATTAAACAATATGAGCATGTGCTCAGGGCACCAAGCAAAGAGGGGCACCACAGAAATTTTTATAGCATAATTTTCAATGGTGTTTATTAAAATATTACGAGTTCATCAGACGACTCAGACTTCAGAATGTTCGCCTTTCTCTTCGAGTATCATATTAATTTTCTTTATTGAAAATAAACACTGAAGCTTTTTTATTGGACACCAAATGGACCTATGAGTCGTTTTCCTAAACTGTTCTTGTTCATCCTAATATTTTCCTTGTCGCATTTTTGCTTTCAAAAATTTCGTTTCAAGTATTGGCCGTAGAACTAGGCTATTTCTTTTATTTGTTTTAAAAATGGGCTTCATGGGATTGATTCGTTTTCACTCGTAAGTTTCGTGTGGCGACATCATCAAATTAAAAATATCGCACTATGTCGCGAGTCCGCTATTTCAACAATCTGATCTAGGGTCAGCGAAGTCGGGAGTTTTTTGATAAGGTAGGCCAAAGTGGTCCAATTGTTGAAATCACGTAATTCCAATGCTGTATCTATAAACGTCAAGACGATATCAATATGGGAATGGCGTCCTGTGAGCTGTGATCAGTATAAGGAGAATGAATTGTCTTTTGCAGATAAGACCAAGCCGGTTAGATGAGTCACGCTTCTCATCTCAACTCGCACCTTAAGCTCGCGACAGGTCTTATTTGAGGAGACTTAATGCCTTTATTTCAGTAAAAACACTCCTCCATTTTCAAACGTGAGCCATGCGACAGTAGTAACAAAACGCAGAGTTGACTTAGCGCACAATCCATTATTTTCAACTAGGTCTCGAAATCCCAACTTAGACAGACTTGGTTGTTATTTGACGTAAATGAAATGAGTGTCAAAAGAAATGTGGCAGAGGAAAACTGTTAGGAAAGGTACTTCCTTGCCCACCACAACGATAAACCACGGTGTCTGGTTTAGTTTGACAAAATCAAAATCGAGATACGGAAAATACAACGGTAATTTTCGGTAATTAATTTTAAAATAACTAAACGCTTCATATATATATCTTCTTTTGTAAGAACACCACCCATGCAACATAATAATAGGCTTAAATTTAAAGTGAGTAAACTCGCGGTATTTCGATCACTTTTGGGTTTTCTCCGACTGCGAGACCTCCTCAAAAGTTTTTGCTTTCCTGCAACCTTGAATCACCATAACGTAGACTACATAGGTACCGTTAAAATTGTAAACGACAGTTGTGACTTGAATCCTTTGGTATTTCGAATCACGTTGAAACTGGACGCATGAATCTTCATCGTCACACTCCCCCAGAATTAGCTCAACCGATATTTCCCCTATATTGCGTGTTTGCGGATATATCATATTGGCAGTAAACGTCCGATATATATCTGTTATATATGACAGTTAAAAAACTTAATGTTCGTGTAAGTTGTTTTATTCACTGTTGGTTGTGATTATTTTTAATACATAATACACTTATGTGGCTTATTGTTTTTATATTTCGATTTACACATAAGGGGACACTAAAGTCTTCAGTGCTTAGGGCACCATAGGGGCATAATCCGCCCCTGGGTGCGCTACTAGTGCGCCGTAGCGAGTTACCAAATGCGCCACGAAAACAAACAGAATTGTGTTCAACATAACTAAAATATGATTGAATATTATCTTACATATTGCATTTATCATAAAGGTTTTATTGCTTCTTATTTCAAATGATGTGTATATTAATCAATAAATTCATTTTATCTTTCTATGTCGTTTACTTCCTACTACCGACGTGGGGGTCCATAATGTTACGTAACATTGGAAATAGACGTATTTGTTGCAATATAGCGAGCTGCGGTTTATTTATCTGTTGAATCGACTTTGGCGAACATGAGTAATCTTTTCAGCATTTCAATTAAGTCGTAATCATTATAATCCATAGTTACACCAATGACATTAAACAACATGATAGGCAACTCTGACGTCACTCCATAAGACTATACGCGAAAGATTGTATTTCATGATACGCTTCAATGCACATAGTTATCGTCGCCTTTCGAGACCGTTTCCCGTTCGCTTTTGCTTCTCGGCGCCTTCTTTACGTGTAGTATCTGCCTTTTTGCGCCTGTGACGAAAGAAAATAATCATTATATCTAAGAAGTTTTGCTCACTTGGAAAGCTGGAATGACAGACAAGCTAGCTGTAAAGAGTAATTCTGGACATCATAGACGTTTTTATTTTATCAGAGAAGATTACAAACGCGATAGGGCAAAGATTTGTGTGGAACATTTTGCAGATAATGACAATGTTCAAAGTTACTAGTTTTAATGTTTGTACTTAAACATTGAAATTTTATTTAAAGTGGGTGTCTTACAAAACAACAAGACTGTTTATACTTCTCTTAACGGTGCTGTGATACAATTCCATAACACAAAGTTTGCACCCATCGAACTTGCTTTAGTAGGTGAATTTATTAGACATATTACATATTCAGTTTATCGTAGGTAACATTGATGGTACATAATGCCTCGTAGATATGTTTGTGTCTAAATTTAGAAATTTAGCTCATAGCCCACTAATTAGTATTATCGTCTATGCAGGAGGTTGCAGGGCTGATTTCAACTTGCAGCCTTACCGATCACCTGATGATGCTCATTTAGTTTGGCTCGAGCAAGTCTTCTTGAAAGACTTGTGTGAATGGAAACTACCTATATCTTTTGCCTTCCTCCGATTTTAGAAGACAAATTTAATCTGAGGAATTTTGCATATAGTTCTCATTGATTGTTGGCTGTTTATATTTCCTATTAATTGTGAATTCTGATTATAACAAAGAGTTAAAAAAATTTTTACGTAATTTACTGGCACCTTTTTCTTGTCAATACTCCAAGCTGAGGTAATAAACAAGACAATACATTTATGTCACCTGGAAGCAAAATATGCACACTAATTAAAAGTTTGACACATTGAGATAATACATCGCCACAGCAAATACAAGTTACAATACAAGTCATACAATATGCAGCATCGCATTTTGGAAATTGTAAAAAGGGCCGCAAACAGTTTTTGATAATGTATACTTAAAAAATAGTTTTAGTTTGTGACATATATTGTGATGCAATTAAACAGTTGGATTAAGTTCTATTATTTTCTCTAATTTCAAATGCAATTACATTTTAATATTTGCATTCCACTATTATTGCAAGTTACTGTATTTATCACAAAAAAATCATAAAATTCTATGTACAACCATCAAAATCATTTTTGAACAAGCTTTGGATAAGGAAAGAATAATACATACACTAAGAATGACTTAAATCTAAATATATGGACCTAAAATTAACAAAAATACTATAGTATAAACTCAATGTTTACTCAATTACATTTGCCCTGACGTTTGGCATCTTTTTTGTGTCACCAGCATACTAAGGCCAGGCTGAAATGATTTTATAGTACCAACTCTTATAGTAACTAACGAGGTCACATGATCATGGGTTAATATGGATCTGTGAGAATGCTTAATTAATTCCAGTAATGCAAGAAAGCGTAAATCCCATTTTTCTTCGAAAATGCCACCTTCTTCATGTACTTTGCGTTTAATTTACCCACTCAAATGTTTTATTCAAGTATTCTTTTGCTAGCTTGATGTGTGAATTCTTAATTGGGTCAAAATGTGAAAAAAATAATAATTTACCAAAACTACTTTCAGTAAATTGTTTTTTGCGCAAATAATCAATTTCACTTTAAAAAATTGGAAAAATCTTTTACATTTAGATAAAAACAAAACTTTCAAAAAACTATTACAATTATTGTTTAGCGTTCGAGGGCCGCACTGGAAGTTCTCTGGGGCCGCGAGTTTGACATCCCTGGTCTATATTTAAGTTGTCCAAAATATTGAACAGTACTTTATCATGAATCATGATTATACCCTTCCCTGAATTTCTTCTATAGTACTACCAAAATTTGATGGAACTAATTCTAACACAGGTGTAGTGAGTGACCCATAATCTACATTTCCAAAGCTGTTTTAATTATGTCTGGCGTGTTTTGTGCCTTTTTACAAATAAGACCCATACACAACTCTACCGGGGGGGTCAAATGTCTTTGCATGCCTCCATAGGTTGTTCTTCTATTGCAAACATTCATGGAGTACTCTAATTGTATTTCTTGGAATCACATTGTCACTGATATTTTGCCAGACTTCTGATATCTCGCCGTCTGCTACAGTTGTCCTGTGAATAAATAATGGGAAATTGAGGTTAAACGAATAGTTGAAAGTTTTGCTTTATGTCGACTTAATTTCTTGACTGATATTCTTACTATTTTTGCTATTGCCTCTTGTGCTGCAGGAATCTCACAATGCTTATACAGGTTTGTCCACAACATTCACATCTGAAGAAAAAGAGGATATTTATTAATTTTCGTCAAGAATATTTAAAGAGGTCTATATGATTTAGAATGGAAAAGTTAATAAATCCAATATCTCATGTTAAATGTAAAAAATGTTTTACTGAATTTGGTATATAAACCAACTAATGAAGGGGTTTAGTCCAAAAATTACAGGCATTCGTGGCTTCATATACTTGAGAGATCTTACTATACAATATAGACCTGGTATGGGTGAAATGTTAGGTGAACTTATTAACCCTTTGAATCAATACGCAAATAGAAGTGATTGAGCAATAGTATGTTACAGCAATCCGTATATATCCTCATTGGTTAGAAAAATCTAAATGGAGGTGCATGAACTATTTGGAATCATAAGGGGTAGATAAATATGCAATTTCGGCAAATGGGCAACTACGTACCGTACTGAATTAATAACTTTGTAGTATTTGAAAAAGCTGGCTTTCCCACATGCACTTAACAGTGCGATGCCCGGGTGTGATATACAACAATAGTATTTATCTTACCTTTTTCCGATTTCTTTTCAACTCAACTTTCCAAAATATCATTAAAATCGACAACAACTGTCAAAGCAGGAACGAACACCATTCGTGCTATGCCTTGAAAGCAGCACGCATCCGCTCGTTCTCGTCTCGTCAAGTATGTGCATTGGAGCGTGTTATCGAATACGATCTTCGGCCAAAAATGCCGGAGTTGCGCATCATGTTGTTTAATGTCATTGGTTACACAATGCACATTTGCTACAACATAACAATAATCGAGTCAATAATTACTGGTTACTGAATGGGGCTGGGCATATATTGAACTATTATATATAATATCAATTTACTATTTGAAAATTTGGTAAAGAGTGACGCGACAAGTCACTTGCGCGTCGCTTAATGAAACGATTGGTTTCACAAACTCACTAGCGGATTTCCGACGAAAACACGAGTCTGCACTTGCTTCGATAGACACCTAAGTGGTGTTTCTCGCGAGTTTGAACGAGGAATAATTTTTTTTTTCCGATGCCCAAATTTTCTAAATTGAAAAGCCGCAATACAAAATACTAAAAATAAAACGGAGCACGTAAGTTTTGTTTCATGATGGTCCGCGACCGATTAAAAACGCTTTTTTAGACATTGCAAATCGCAAAATTTCGGGTGCTACCGTAGTATACGTACCAGGGCCCTCAGGATTCTTTGCCGTACTGCCTCCACATTGATAGGTACAGTACTGGAGCGCCGTAAGTGTTGTACAAACAGCTCAGCTTTGTCGAATTCACAAAAATACGAATCAAAACAAAATATAATCGGGCACTTTACCACGTATTATTGTGTCCACGGATTGACATGATATTTAGCAGAGCTTTTATTTCGTCAACACAACCGCAGATTAAAATGATCACAGTTAAATTAATAATAAAGCAAGGCGATGAATATGTATTTTTGATTTACTAATATACTTTAAATATATTTTTAATAGGTACTAAATCAAGTTGTACTTTCTGGAAATAGTAGATAGTAGGATTTTTCTAACGGCGATACCAAATTTGCAAAAAATATGTATAAAAACTAAACACGAGAATATCGGTCGGTCGGACACCGAAGACTTATCGATCGAAAGTTAGGGGATCCCCCAGAATCGATTCATCCGCTCTTACTCCATAGTGACACCGTGTGTCCCATCACTAATTAATTAATACCTCGCTAATTATACGACATAATTCATTCAAAATCAATAGGCTTCTGATCCGAGATATGATGAATGCACATGCAAAATTTGGAGCAGATTAAACTCGCTTTTGTGAGATATCGCGTGTATCTTACAGACAAACAGGCAGACAAACAAAAAAACGAGATTATCGGTCGGCGACCGAAGACTTATCGATCGTCCAAAAATAATTTAAATAATTAATTAATAACTCGCTAATTATACGACATAATTCATCAAAAATTAATAGGCTTCTGGTCCGAGATATGATGAACGCACATGCAAAATTTGGACCTTGCTTTCGTGAGATATCGCGTAACATAGAAAGTGTCTAACAGACAAACAAACAGACAAATACCTATCAACATACTTACCGATCAAGATCGATAAGTAACAAACAAACAAATACCTATCAACATACTTATCGATCTTGATCGGGCAATATATTATCACATTATTATGTTCGCAGATTGCCGTGACATTTTAAAGAAGTAGGCTAATGCTTTCTTAATCATGTCATCGACGATACCGCGAGTTACCGTAAACACAATTAAATCAAAATAGAATGACCTTTAAATTCTCGTCGTTGTCAGGGATCGAATATTGTGCGACAGAAAAGGCCATTAGACACTAAAAGGTCGCCTCTTTCAACGAACGCGTAGTTGCGGCGAATTTTCGATTTTGAAATTTGCCAAAATTCTGTTGTGTTTGGTTTTATTGCTTCTTCACACAGAGTACGGTTGCAATAAACGAACCTTTAGTCCGCGAAGGTCTTCGCCGGTGAGAAGAAAGTCCGCGACCAAAAAAGGTTGGGAAACGCTGCTCTAGACCAGCGTTTCCCAAACTATGTTCCACGGAACACTAGTGTTCCGCGAGCGTCTTCGAAGTGTTCCGTGAAAAAAGAATCAAAAATACGTCTAAAATGGTCGGCATGACAATCTATGAAACGTGGAGTTGCCGCCCAACTGACCGGCGATAATGCGTCACCGTCGGCCTAAAGTGGACCAATTAGGAAGCGGTAGTGGGATTTTTGATAACCGTCGCTATTCTTCCTTCATCTTTGACTGGTTTTACTTTGAAATAATTTCTTATTTGGCCAAACTCTATTCAATAGATAAATAAACTGCAGCAAGTACTTCTATCTCCATTTGAGGCAAACCCTATGTAATGGAAAGTAAACGACATGGAATGGTAAAATGAATGAATTGATTTATATACACAGTATTTAAATTAATCAACAATAAAACATTCATAATAATCAATATGCAAAATAAAATATGTCCTGAATGTATTTGATAAACTAAACTGGTCGAACTCAAATTAATTGAGTTAGCACAATCCAACAATATGTGGAAAAAGTCAATCAATAAACAATAGGAACTAAAGCCAGTATAATATTTAATCATGGAGCTTGACGCCTTGAAACGTTTCATACCGAATTTAGATATTGACAGCTTTGAAACTTGAGTTTTTAAATTCTCAATTTCTTTTAAAGCTTGCTCAAGTTTTTCTTCAGCTGTTTTCACTACAATGCAGTAGTTGTGATCCACTTGAGTAGGATTAATGTGATTAAAACTCAGACTGCTGGTCCGACTGCTTGGTACAGTGGCATCATCAGTGGTTCTGAACAAATATAATAAAATTCATTAGCAAAGAAATCACATATTCATCCTGGGGAAAGGAAGGATGATAAGACGGCTCATATATATGATGAACCAGATATCGGTGAAAAGTCATATTGTACCCAAATTACGTTTCAGTGTTGCTGAAAGTTTGTGTACTCACAAAAAGATTTGAGTCATTTTTTTCAAATGAGTTGAATCTGGACCAGGGTGGTCCAAACCCAGGCCCGCGGGCCACATGTGGCCTGCCGCTCCATTATCTGTGGCCCGCATCACATTCGGAGAAAATCAAAAAATCGCATTTTGTAATAAAATTATTCAGAAAAATATTTTTACATCTCTAATGGCACTGAATTGACTATTGTTATAGCTAGATGTGAGGCAACTAGCAAAGTTGAATGATGTGCTTGGTAGTCTAAATTAGTATCTGGCTTTCTATCTTTTTGGTCGGGAATATATGCTAACAATGTAGGCATCATAGAAAACTAAGAACCGAATACGGATTCTATTAGCCAGAGCAGGCTATGCCTTATAACTATGTGTTTGCACAATGAAAGTGTTTATTTTGTATTGCACTGTTTACCTATTCTTGGCACTATTGTGGCCCGCGAACAATGCAAAAATAATTTTGTGGCCCGCGGAGCCGACAATGTTGGACCACCCTGATATTCTAGACTTTTATAGTCTGTCAAAATATTTTTTCAAATAAGTTAATTTTAAATTTTGGTTTGATACTAGTATGGTGGTATAGTCTAATTTAAAAAATGATATATTCTGTTTTACCTCAGTCTATTTGGCAGTGGTCTCTCTGCAATTAACTTTGTTCAACTAAATTTTGATGGAACTGAGTTGTGGTGCAAACGGCGTCGACTAGAAGGCGTCTCATATATGTCTTCGGGTCTGAAATGGTTGCCACAAACTCGCGTGCTTGGTGTAATCTGTTTTAATAAGTCAAAATAAACTAGCTGATACGAACTGAATAAATAACACCAACTAGAGTGAAGCTAGGCTTCAAGGAATTAATGTATGCCACCTAATAATAATATCGGTGATCGGTATGGTGAATATCTGAGGCACACACTCCCTGACTTCAATCAGCCAGTAGCCTATTTGTTGTGCCAGGAATCCTTCTGATAAGTCAACGATGGGAGCTTGCCTTCTGGGTTTGGATACGCTTAACCTGACTGCCGCTGAAATTCCAATGCACTAAACCAGACACAGTTCCGAATCGAACTTGTTTTATTTTACCACTCAACAAAAAGTGTTATTGTGGCCACTCGTGTAAGGTCAGGTGATTTAAAAATAGTTTGGACTGCAACGCATCCAAATCCTACTTAATCAGATATACATATGTAACTAAATGCAAAAATAAATACAGTTTTAGGTACAATCCTAATAACTTAATCGCTATTTCAACACATGTCTACATAAAACACAACCTTAAGTTCACTAAAATACAACCCTAAGTTATTATTAAATCTGCAACAAAAAACGTGCGGCCCTTTTACCAGTGCTGATAAACCAAGAGACTGTCGCAACAACAGGTTGCCACAATATGCACCATATACCAATTACGTATGGGCACTAGATTGCAATCAGAAAGTATTATGTCAATTGAATGCGAGTCATCAAAAGTGGATACTAAGTCTATACCTAAAACAGTTCTAAATAAATGAAATAATATACAAATACCAATGTGCAGTGACTAAATACATCAGAATATTTGCATAAGAAAAGCAATATGTGGCAACACTATATGCACTGCCTTATTAGGAATGAAACGGCAATCATCCTCAACACACCGGCCCCAATCATTTTGTTCACAAAATTATTTTAAACAATGAGGATGATTTATCCAACAATCGAACACAATGAAAACATGCAATAAAATAACATACTGAGAACATGAAATGAAACAACATATACAAAAAATGACCTGGACCACTGAACATGTTTGGCAATAAAGGACAGAAGCTTAAGCAGCTTCAAGTAGGCAGAGTTTCCTAACATCACGAACTAGATCAGAATTCCTAGTATGAACCTTAACCCTCTTAACCATCCCATCCTTATCGGGAAATACCTCAATCACTCTACCCTTGGGCCAAACGCCGCGCGGAGTATCGTCGCCATACAGAAGCACAATGTCACCTACTTTCAAATTTCTCTCAGGAAAGAGCCATTTCTGTCTCTTTTGCAATAGCGGTAAATACTCCTTTGTCCAGCGATTCCAGAATCGATCAAGACTGAGCTGGACATGTCTCCAATTTTCGCGAAACTCGTCACCGCGCGTAAACTTATCGGGAGCAATAGAGGGATCAAGATTTCCAGTCAAAATGGAATTTGGTGTCAGAACCTCCAAATCCCTTGCATCATCACTAATAGGTGTCAATGGGCGATCATTCAAAATTCTTTCTACCCCAGTCAGCATGGAGATGAGCGAAAAATCAGTAAATGTTCGTGATTTCGCACAAATCGCATAAAGAACTCTTTTTGCCTCCCGGACCATTATCTCAACCAAGCCATTTTGGTGAGGTGCTAAAGGCGGTTGAAAATCCCACTGAATTCCATGTTGTGACAGAGAATTTGCAATTTGACTCTGATTCCACTTACAAATCCCCTCAGCAAGAAGTCTCTCACCAGCCACAAAGTTTGTGCCATTATCTGAAATTACATGGGATGGTTTTGAACGCCTATCACAAAATCGAAAAAAGGCCTGCAAAAATGCAGATGCATCAAGTGATTCCGAGACCTCAATATGAACAGCCCTAGTGACTGAACAGGTGAATATGCATCCATACCGCTTGTATTCCTTACGTCCCAATTTGACTTTCAATGGACCAAAGTAATCTACAGCAGTGTGATAGAAAGGAGTGCGACCACCCAGAACACGCGACTCTGGCAGAGGAGCCATCCACTGTGAACCAGGTCTACTCGCCCTCAACTTGCACAATTTACAAGCATTCAGCACCTTACGGACTTCCGCCTGTCCACAAAGAATCCAAAATTTTTCCCGCACAGAGGAAAGAGTGTGCAATGTACCAGAATGACCATTTTGCCGATGATAATACTCTATTATCAATTTTGTTACATGATGATGAGGTGGTAATATTATTGGATGCTTCTGCTCCGGTGATAAATGTGAGTGTCGAAGACGGCCACCCACCCGCAAAATATCATTGTCTAAAAATGGGCTAAGTTTAATGAGAGCCTTAGAATGTGGTGATGTAGGCAACTTACAGCCACTGCTCAAGTAGTCTGGTCCGTCATGTACACGCTCACTGAAATATTCGAGCTCTGGAGAAAACGATTCAATTTGGGCCAACTTGCAGATCTGAATAGTTGCTACACTAAGTTCCGTAACAGTTAAATCTCCAGTCATTGGGGAGTCATTTGATCGACAGGTTTTCCACAAAATAAAAAACTTAAAACGCAACATCCATGCAATTGTTCTCGACAATTTTTCCCACGTTGAATAGCGATTTACCAACTCAGGAAAATACTGGGATCTCTTTTGAACTTCAACAAGATTCACCTTAATTTCACAATGTAAATCGGAATTAGTTGGTATGGTATCTGACACTGATGAAGTGCCAGACCATGAAACACTTTGTTGCCACAAAAAAATTGGACCTTGAAACCATAATTTTGCCTTATCCAACTTATCTGGCATAAGACCACGAGAAGCGATGTATGCTGGATTTTCATTTGTTGGAACATGAGACCACTGCGACACATCAGAAATTGATTGAATAATATTAACCCGATTGGCTACAAAAGTCTTAAAGCGCTGTGATCTACTATTCAACATCTGCAACACAGTCATCGAGTCTGTCCAATAACAAGTTTCGTGTATCTCATAGTCTAGTGCATTTGTAACAGAATGAGCAAGTTCTGTGGCAACGACTGCCGCCGTCAATTCTAGTCGTGGAATTGTCACTAGCTTCTTGGGGGTAACACGCGCAGTACCCTTTACAAATGCACAGTGAACCTCGCAGGATTCGTTCTCCAACCCTAGGTACGCTACTGCACCGTAGCCCACTCTACTTGCGTCGCAAAAACAGTGAAGCTGCACATTCGCCGCCTCAAATCCTTCCGGTTTGTAGCAACGTTGTATAGTCAACTCCCTCAAACTAGGCAAGGTGCTGATCCATTTCTCCCAACCATCATACAAGTCTCCCTCGACAGGATCATCCCACGAGTAACCCAAAAAACACAAATCCTGCAAAATGCGCTTTGCGGGAATCAAAAACGGTTGAATAAACCCCAATGGATCATATACCTGGCCAAGCATGCTGAGCATGCCACGGCGCGTTGAGGGTCGAAACTCAATTTCCACCCGAACCTTGAAGACATCGTGCACCATGTTCCAATAAATTCCCAGCGTACGTTCAGTCAACTTTGTACTAAAGTCAAGCGCTTTCGTTGCGGTAGAGCGATCCGCCTCGGGAATCGCTTCCATTACTTCAATTTTATTACAAGCAAACTTTGTAAGACGGAACCCACCCGATGCGAGTAATTCGATCAGCTGATTTATCAATTGAAGTGTTTCATCGACGGTACGTTTCGACTTCACACCATCATCAACGAAAAAACTGCGTTGCACTGTCTGTATCGTTTCCAGATCAGCATTCGTTAGATTGTCATCAGCGACACGTTTCAACACAAATGACGCAATCGAAGGACTCGACGTCGCGCCAAAAACATGCGAACACATTCGCAGATCAATAGGTTTCTTTCCCAAGTCGTCATTCGGATACCACAGAAAACGCATCGCATCACGATCTCGACTGTCCAGAATAACACGTAGATACATTTCGCGCACATCACAAATAAAGGCAACCGCTTCCTCGAGAAACCGCAGTAGAATACTCACCAAATTCGTATTTAGGTCTGGACCTGAAAGTAAATTCTTGTTAAGTGAAGTGCCGCCGCACTCCGCACTGCAATCGAAAACAACCCGGAACTTGGCCCCAGTAGAGTGGTGTGGCATATACCAAGTCCTACCCAGAGACCCAGGATCACCCTCAGGCACTATTTCCGCATACCCCTTGTCTAAGTAATCATTAATTTTGGACTTGTATTTAAAAAATAAATCAGGGTCCCTAATGAATTTTCGTTTTTGGGACTCTAATCTTTTCACTGCCATTTGACGATTGTTTGGAAGTTTAATATTTTATCTTTCCATGGAAGAGCAACTTGGTACCTCCCATTTACTTTTACTGCAGTGTCATTCATCACTACAAGAGCTTTCTTATCATCTAGGGAATGTTCAGTGGTGAAGGGATCACAATCTAAATCTATAAAATCATGACCACAAATTTTGCACAAAAATTGATCAGTATCACATGCACACACATTATTTAGACGAGGACATGAAACATCACTTACACTTTCACAACTGCTATGAGACATAGTTCTGTCAGGACCGAAAAGAGCCCAACCAAATACTGTCCTGTGAGCAGCGGGAAACTTTGCCTTTTGATCACAAAGCCTAATTTCAGAAATGGGATGATTGGCTAACACTTCTGCACCAATCAATAAATCAACCTCACTAGATCCTAGCACAGGAAATTCCAAATCACTCAAATGAGGATATTTCTGCAACACATTAGCAGTCGGGATAGAACTCTCTAAATTGGGTAAATTAATTGCCAAAACATTGGGAATGTCAACAACCCTTTCCGAATCACAACCTTTTACTTTCAGTGAAACTGTTTTACCACCGTGTAATTTACTACCATTCGCTGTTGCGAGCATACAATCTTCAGGTTTACCCTCAATACCCAATTTTGCAAGTAAATTGTGGGAGCACAAGGATCTGGTAGACCCTTCATCTAAAAAGGCATAAGTACACACAGCATCAGAAGCACCATTGCTGGTAACCTCCACAGGTACAACCTTAAGTCTAACAAAATTTTGAATATTTTCCGAACAATTAACATTTGCAAAATAAGCACCGGCCCCATTTTCTTTCTTGGGGGCAGACACATTATTTTGAGAATTAGCATTGCTAGAAAAATGAGCACCAGTGGTTGGTGGCTTCTTTTGATCAACATGTAATAAACTGTGATGTAATTTACCACAGCCATTCACTTGACACACATATTTAGAAGGACAATTATTTGCACGATGAGAACGATACAAGCAATTAAAGCAAAGATTATTTCGTCTCACCATTTCGGCGCGATCATTAACACTTCTCCCTTTAAACTCGACACAGTTGTGTAAAGCATGATTTCCTTGACAGTCCACACACTTGTACTGCAAATCAGCTACCTTGGGTCCTGGAGTCTTCTCTTGGGTATTGGTGACTGCATACGATGTGGTTCTTGTCATCCTAGGTTTGGTGACTCGAATAGTTGATTTCTGTTTGGCAGAATTCTTGGTCACAATCCGACCATAAAATGTAGTAGTAAGCTGCGCTTTCTTCACCACGAATGCAACCAAGTGTGAAAATGTAGGAAGTTTACTGTCATCAAATTGGTCCGCATACTTTCGTTGCAAGTACATGGGCAGACGTGAGAATACACGCTCAAGATTTTCATAGCCATCCATGAATGAATTTGCTTTCCACTCACTAAGCACAATCTCACAATTACGCAGTTGAGTGGCCAACTTGCAAAGTCCTTGAGTGTCATCGTCCATAATCTTGGGACCATTTGTTACCTCTTTACTTGTAGCTTCAATTACCACAGTTCGGTTACCAAACTGTTCATGTAAGGTTTGCCACGCCATCTGATAGCCCTTGCTTGGTGGCGACACTAGTACTAAATTCTTGATGGCATCCTTTGCGATGCCAGAACACAATTGAATCAGCTGTGCAAGCTTTGTCTCAGGCGCATGTTGGTGACAATGAATGTTAGTCTCAAATGACTTCATGAAGGCATGGAAACGCAGGGGATTTCCATCAAACTCCATCAGTTCCACTTTGGGCAATGTGAAACCTTCTCGCAGAGCATTAATCATAGCACCATAATCTGGAGGAACAGCACTTGTTGCTGTTTGAAGTGGCAAAGCTGAATTCGGTACCGCCTGATAAATCCCATCGCCAACTTGACGATTGCCACTTTCGTATGAATTTACTACTGGCTGATACGCACCAGTAGCAAGTGTTGACACAGATGGTGCAAAACCGCTCTGAACGACACCTCCACTGCCATATGAATTTACTACTGGCTGATGCGCACCAGTAGCATGTGTTAACACAGGTGGTACAGAACCGCAGCTCTGCAGCACTCCTTCCCTTGCATATGAATTTACTACTGGCTGATGCGCACCAGTAGCATGTGTTAACACAGGTGGTACAGAACCGCAGCTCTGCAGCACTCCTTCACTTGCATATGAATTTACTACTGGCTGATGCGCACCAGTAGCATGTGTTAACACAGGTGGTACAGAACCGCAGCTCTGCAGCACTCCTTCTCTTGCATATGAATTTACTACTGGCTGATGCGCACCAGTAGCATGTGTTAACACAGGTGGTACAGAACCGCAGCTCTGCAGCACTCCTTCTCTTGCATATGAATTTACTACTGGCTGATGCGCACCAGTAGCATGTGTTAACACAGGTGGTACAGAACCGCAGCTCTGCAGCACTCCTTCCCTTGCATATGAATTTACTACTGGCTGATGCGCACCAGTAGCATGTGTTAACACAGGTGGTACAGAACCGCAGCTCTGCAGCACTCCTTCACTTGTAATAGGGGAAGATTCCCAAACAACAGTAGATTTTGAAGGCTCACGAACCATATGTTCGAGACCTACATCTGAAGCATATTGTCTCATTGGTAGTTGGTGAACTGTTTCATCAGAAGAAAAATGCAATCTCGTGAGATCCACCGAGTCGCCATGTCTGGACGAAGTCCCTGATGAACTAGCCTTTAGAAGTAGCTCAGCCTTCTTCTTCTTCGCTTCTGTCATTGCTGTTTCTATTTTTTCTCTTAACAATTCTTCTTGAGCTTCAAGAAGCATCAGTTCTGCCTGGAGGCACTTTGATGATGTTGATGAAAGTCTTGTTTTCGCTGAGCTAGATGAATGCGTGGAAGCAACTTCAGAGTATTGTATATTTTTCGCCATAATCCACCGGTAGTCGGGTACCGTGTTCTATTTTTAAATGATGATCGGTATGGTGAATATCTGAGGCACACACTCCCTGACTTCAATCAGCCAGTAGCCTATTTGTTGTGCCAGGAATCCTTCTGATAAGTCAACGATGGGAGCTTGCCTTCTGGGTTTGGATACGCTTAACCTGACTGCCGCTGAAATTCCAATGCACTAAACCAGACACAGTTCCGAATCGAACTTGTTTTATTTTACCACTCAACAAAAAGTGTTATTGTGGCCACTCGTGTAAGGTCAGGTGATTTAAAAATAGTTTGGACTGCAACGCATCCAAATCCTACTTAATCAGATATACATATGTAACTAAATGCAAAAATAAATACAGTTTTAGGTACAATCCTAATAACTTAATCGCTATTTCAACACATGTCTACATAAAACACAACCTTAAGTTCACTAAAATACAACCCTAAGTTATTATTAAATCTGCAACAAAAAACGTGCGGCCCTTTTACCAGTGCTGATAAACCAAGAGACTGTCGCAACAACAGGTTGCCACAATATGCACCATATACCAATTACGTATGGGCACTAGATTGCAATCAGAAAGTATTATGTCAATTGAATGCGAGTCATCAAAAGTGGATACTAAGTCTATACCTAAAACAGTTCTAAATAAATGAAATAATATACAAATACCAATGTGCAGTGACTAAATACATCAGAATATTTGCATAAGAAAAGCAATATGTGGCAACACTATATGCACTGCCTTATTAGGAATGAAACGGCAATCATCCTCAACAATCGGTTATCAAGTTTAGCTTAATTCCCATAATCAGTACACCAGGAAGATATTGACAAAATAAACACTGATTAGTCTACAGAATCAGAAGAGCCCTAACTAAGATTTGAAAAGAGCAGAAGTTAAATTAAATCAATTAAGTGATTCAAGAATCTTGCTACACACCAAGACTCACAGCAAGACTCTTGAATCACTAAGGATAGTTATCTTTACTCTCGCTACAGCATCCTTGCATTATATGCCTACCGATCCGCCGGTACAAAAGCATAGAAGAAGGATAAGTAGTTAGTTTCGTAGAAACCAAATCATTAGTTAAATTAATTGTTGCTAAAACTGCAAAAGAAAGTCATGGGCTGTGCTCACCTTATATACACTCACATATGGCCTACAACCGCATAGATATAGCCTAATAACTTAAGTAGAAGTGAGAAGAGAAAATCAGGGTCAAAACTAAAATTAAAACCAGAAGAAAAAAAATATTTGCCACAATATACTGACTTACTTGAAAATGTTTACCAGGATCGCGACGAATACTGTGAATCCACGCTCTCTTCATTTTTTTATTTTTGGGGAAAGAGTGGAACGATAAGTCTGGTGAGTGACGGCTATCGCCATTACACAACGGTACGCAGCAATGCAATTTGGAACCACCAGACGCACGAGCCGCTATTGCAATCGAAAAGCCCAAACCAGTACAACGTCGCGGGGAAGCAGAAGACAGTACTTTCCAGCGCATGCCCACATAAAACAAAATGGCGACGCTCAGTGGCGATAATGAATACCCTCCATTAAACTAATCAATGAATATCATTTAGGAGGCGCAGTTCTTACCATTTCATGGCAGCTCCTGCCACGAACGAACCGCGGCAGCTCCTGCCATGGTTTTATAGCGCTCTTCAGTATTCAGTAATCAGTATTAACGGTATATTCACAAATTAATGTACCAG